TGAGGCATGGGAGGTTGGTAATGGTATTGAGGCGTCATGCCAGGCTGCATAGTGGCAGGCTGCATGTTCGGTGTACCCGGGAGCGAGGGGACGAGAGCCGGGCTTCGGGCAGGCTGGGGGGAGTTAGGGTACTGAAGGTTACGACCCTGAGGCTGGAAAGCTGGAGGCATCCCACGACCCTGACCAGGGCCGTTACGGAACTGGTTGGCGGGAGGGAAACCCATCTGCGAGCTGTAGTTGCCGCCGTGGGGATTGTATCCGCGGCCACGACCACCCTGGGGCTGGAAGTTACCTCGACCAGCGCCGTCACCTTGCGCTGAGTGGCCAGATTCACGTCGGAAGTGAGCTCCAGGCTGTGCATTGGGGTTCGTTGGAGTAGAGCCCTGCCTCATGTGGCGCTAGAGAGTAAGTCAGTGATGAGTTCGAGGGTAACTGTTTGACAGACGAATCTGAAAGAACCTACTTCGCCATCGCTGCCGAGACTGCCAAATGTCATTGTACTACCTCCTGCCTGCTGGAGACCAGAAGGAGGCCGACCACCACTGGCCGAAGGCTGAGGAATAGGTGAAGGTGAGTGAGCAGGAGAGGGGACTCGGGCATTTCCACCACCAGGAATGGGAATGGGCGCAGCACTGGAGGTCTGAGGTGTGCTGTTGGTCATTGCAGGAGAGTCGTAGCCGAACTGGATGCCAGGCTTACCAGCAGTGACGGGACCACCGTTGGCGACAAAACTGTTTGGACCGTTGGCAGCCATGGTGACGGAGCTCTTGCGAGAATGATCGGGACCGTTGAGGTTAGCACTGCTGCGAGTGACAGCAGGGACAGCGGGGGTGACGGCGGGTTTGCCGTTCACAGGAGACGATGAGGCGTCTTTCGCATTCTGCGAAGAAGACGAAACTCCAACCACCGCGGGAGGGTGGGATCCAGTTGCGACTATAGGGGCCTGAGCTGACTTCTTAGGCGCACCTGCAGCAGAGGCATACGAAGAAGCCGTAGTCGCGGGGGTGTTGTTCGCCTGGATGGGATTCTGCTTGTTGGCAGGCGACGTCATATGGGGAGTTCGGTGCCGCTCGCGATGTGAGATTGCGGTGGTGTTGGGATATTTTTTTTTTTTGTGGGCGTCGAGGGAGAAAGCGGAATAGATGGCGCCGGGTGCCGGGTAGGGACGTGGAATTATTCGAAGCTGCAGCGGGGCAACAAGAATCGACGAAGACGAGAGACGCACAAGTCGTTTCCCTTTTTCAAAAAATAAACGAAACACCACGATCTCGTGCGGAGAGATCTCGTAGAAAGAAACGACGGTAAGTCCGATGGGCGGCTCGAGAGGTCGAGATAGGCCGAATCGAATCGATCGATCACAGGAGAGCGAACAAGGAGTGCAGTCGTACCAATGAAGGCGATCGTAGAGACAAGACGGGTCAAGCTACGTACGATCCTGCGCGGCAGCGACAGAAGAAGAAACGGAGGGGAGAGGGTCGCTGTGATGGTCTTAACACACACAGGACGTGGTTCCAAAGCAGAAGCAAATGGAAATGGGTCGGGTTAGAATATTTTCCACCGGACCAAGAAGGTTGAGTTGGTGAGGATTCAGAAAAAGCCGGCAAAAAAATTTGGGCAGCAGGATATGATAAGGACTGCCAGGAAGGGGCGAGGGAACAGGGCTTTCTCCGGCAAGACTATTTAAGATTTGAGCACTGTGCTCGCAAGCAATGAAGCAATGGTGAACAATGCACCTCGGGGGGCAGTGAGTCACCTGTAATCAACATCGACAGAGCCGTTGGGGGTTCTGATGATGAGAGTTTTTCAGGGAGTCTATACAGTGTTAATCACTGCCAAGAATGTGCTCAACACTGTTGCTCCCACGGGTTTTTTTCTTCTTCGTCTTCCTACCTAGGTACCTAGACACAGCCCAAGCCCAAGACAAACATGCAGTCTCGAGTTGGTTGGTCAACCCGGCCTGACCTCCAGCTAAGAAAAGGCGCCGCATATCTAATTTCTCCATCCATTCGCCCACAAAGAGCACTACGTCAATCCCGTCCCCGCGGGCGAGGGCACGCTAGTTAAGGCGATAAACGGAGCCTAAACCTGGCTGGATAGATAGTTCGAGACATTGCAAATAACCACTGTACTTCGAATGAGCATACAGGTACAGGAGAAGCATAAAACTTACGCCTCTAGTCCAAGTGATGAAAAGACTTGGGAAAATCTGGCATAAATTCATCGGTCCTATAGGCTGGCTTAATATAACCAACACCTTATCTTGACGTCAGAAGTTCACGAGGGAGGGTGTTCATTATTGAGAATTTGAGTATGAAGGTGGCGATCAGAATCCAACTCACAGGCGCATACAATGAATTCAGAGGCGCCCAGGCTGTCGTCGTTAGATGACTGTCAACTTTGTCAAGTAACTTCACTTTCATGTGGCAGGGAGCACTCAACTTAACTTAGATGACTGTGTATCCAGTCTGCCTACCTAGCATGACATGCATACACGAATATAGTTGGACTCAATGAAACCAACATACCTGTAATCTAAACACGACATCAGGCATAGGAAGCATAGTAGGTTTCGGTCAGTTCAACAATACATGTATGCTATGCCCTCAGCATTGTACCCGTAAAGCGCTTTCCGAGCGTATTGATATTGATTCCACGATATCTTTAAACCCAAGCGACCCAACACAAACTAGCAAGGACAGAGATAGACGGGCCCTCAGTCCGATGAGCCGACTTGTCTGTGCTCGTCTCCAAGGCGATCCGCAGATGTTGAATTCAGTACGATTGCTACGATGTGCGCACTGGGGGCCATTGTGCAGGGGAACAGGGCGTAATGGTTGAACAGTGGGTGGGTGTCAAGATTGTCAGGGCAAACGGCAATTCCGAAATGGTCGTCAAAACATGCGATTTCTACGCCTCATGCCCAACCCTCCCCATTGATATAACAATGAATCGTCCATAACTAATAAAGGAGTGGAGTGATGAGCAACACTGGTGTGAGAGCGCATGGGCCAGGCGTGGGCATCTGTTCGAGAGATAGGAAAATAGACAAGGGCATGTCGGGAGTGGTAAAGGAGAGGATATTGGCTACCTATTTCAGGGCATCTGACTGTTAGCTTATCAGGGGTAGTAACATCAAAGGGAGTCAGTTCTGTGACCTCTCCTAGGTATTTGGACCAAAGTTGTAAGGGTAGCAATTCTCAAACTGGTAACTAATGGATATCGAGCAGTCAATTCGACTTGGACTAGGTAAGGTAGGTAGGTATGCATGGCCTGGTTTCTCTTTCTCACGAACTGGCTGACTGGACTGACTCACTGACCTGTCGACTTGCGGCCCAGTCAACAACAAACAAACTTAGTACCTAACCTCGGGGCGCAAGAAAATACCAGGCCTTCACATAGGTTATCAAAATAAGCGCAGCAAAAGGCATACTAAACTTGAGCTAAATTTATACCAAACTGCCTAAATCTTCTTGTCATTTGAGATCAAGATCCTGATTTTTCTTCCCTCAGCTGAGCCAAACCTCACTAAAGCAAGAATCCTACACGCACCTCACCACTACCGTACTAAGTCCGCAAGCTCCGGTCTAGGCATCACCCTAGCAGGCTGCAGCAGGACTGAATCTGATGAATTGTTTGTCCTCTCTCTCTCTCTCTCTCTCTCTTTCTCTACGTGTTATTGCAAACATGACTTGGTTTGCCTTTGAGACCCCCAAGTTCACTCATCGAGGGTTCCCATACTCAAGTGATTCTGACAACCAGCTACCAACTGCTCAAAGTTGAACGCACAGATACTATAGCATGTCTATCTGTATCCAATACATTACTCAGCCCAAACTCTAACAAATGATAGGAGCTTGATACCGTTGCTCTTAAAGCATCTGCCTGTTCTTACTACTAATAACACTGATGTGAGAGTTTGCAAGAAGAGTCACATCATGTGACCAATAAAAACAATCAATATTTGATTGTTTATCGGCCATTCCCTCTTTCGTAAGCAAATGCCACATGCTCGTTAGCAGTGTCGTCGTGCAGCCTAAGATTTCTTTCTACGCGTGGGACGTTCGTTGATACTATCACTTGCATCCAGTAACTTCCTTCATATGAGCATCACTTTGATTCGATGAGGCGTTCCAGGTAGACAGGCTAACGTTAGTATTGCTGGCCGTCCTGATCTTGTGATGGACGTGTCTCACCTCGTCACCTAATCCGTGTTGAACATGTACCTGAATAGCCCCTCCTAAGCTAAAAGTATTCCCAATTTTTGCTCTGCTGCACATCGTTACGTAGGTTGCTTGTTTGTTCTATCTTAACATCCCACGCCTTGCAATGCTGTCTACCTTAAGCGACTTATATCCTGTTCGACTTCTAACCACGTCGGACTCAAAATCATAATCTCAAAACTTTGGTCGTCTGATTTTGATGAGATGCAATTAAACCAATGACACAGTCACAATTAGAAGAATTTGACATTTCGATGTATGATGTAATGATGTGCATTGCGCTTGTGATCGTCGAAATCAGTCAAGAAAAAATGTATATGTAGCCAAACTTGAACAAACCGTATTACTCGACACAGAACAACGTCAAGTCTCGAGTCGATCTAGCCAAGCATTTACTAGAGAGTCGGCAAGGGTGTATATATATGAAATAAACGATCAGAGGCCTCCAACAAGTTCGATGGCCAGAAACCTCAGAAAATAACCCCTCCAGCCGTTTCGCACTTTTTTTCTACTTGTTACTACTGGAGACTGTCGATCACCCGCTCTTTGCCCAACCCAATGGCGCTAGAGTTCAACTGTTCTTAACGCTTATAGCAAATTGTGATTTCTAATAAGCGCACGCCATTTGAGTAAAACAGGAGCCAGCGAGGTTCAGTCGGAGGCTCAAAGATATACGATAGATCCAGGGCCTCGGTTCTCATGCTATATGGGTCCTTGTAACAACAACTCGTCCTGTCTTGCGCCGTCAATAATACACAAGTGACTTTTCAATCAGTATCTCTACTCTCCTTCCCGAACTTCCAAGATGTCTGCCTCGACCTCCTCTTCTTCGTCATCTTCCTCGTCTTCGTTGTTGCCATACCCCCCTTCTTCGTCTTCAAGCTCTTCCATGATTGTCTCAGGCAGTCCTCCCTGTTCTGCCTCAAGCTGCTTGATCTTTGTGTTGGTCATCTCAAAGACATATTGACCCAGGTGCTCTACGCCTTCCATTGGTACTTCACCCTCCACAGCTCCTAGCTCCTGAGCGACCTCTCTCTGCGTAGGCCAGAGCTCTCCCGTTACCAGCATTAGCTTATCTGGCCTTTGAAGTAATATGTCAAAGGCGGGTCGAAGCTCAGGGCATGCTTCAAAAACCTCGCGGCGACCGAGAATGTACAGGCCAAGTCTTGCTCGAGATAGAGCTACTGTCATGCGTCGCACGTCACGTAAATAGCCCACACGTGACGTTCGGGTAAGAGACAGAATGATATCTGGAGGGGACGTTAGTTCGGGAAATTGCTATAAAATGTGCAATAGTTCACTTACAATCGTTCTGCTCGCCCTGGTACTTATCGACAGTAGCTACCGCCTTGGGTATGCCGAAGATGGGGTTTCGGGCGCATCTATGCGAGAGGACATCCTTTACCAGGGCCCGTTGACCAGCGTAAGTTGTAAGAATAGTGATCTTCTCAGTAGGGTAACCCAGGAGGCGCATGTACTGGAAGATGGCTACTGCGTACTCGGCCTCCCCGAGGTTCTGGATAAAGTGTGGCGTGGGTTCAGCCTCACCCCGACCCTTGTAGTCAGGCACGTTGATAAACTGATAGTCGAACTTGAATCCAGCATTGGCCTTGACAAACTCAGCACTTGTCTGCACCTCGGGAAGGTTGCCAAGCTTGGGGTAGCGCCACTGGTAAAGATTTGCGATCGAACCACGAGCACGGCCCTGCTGGTCGAGGGTGACCGTAGGAACGCCCAGTCTGACCAGTCTTGAGAATAGTGACTGCTCAAGATTGGCGTAATGACGGAATGCCAGACTTTGAATGACTGGTGAATTCTGGAAATGGTCTCCGCACAAAACAACCCTTTGCAGAGGCAGTTCACCATTTCGAGGCTTCTGCATCGTGAGTGGCAAAAAGGTCTCGATCTCGGTCACTTGAGCAGCCTCCTCCATAACTACGTTGTCGTAATGGAAACCAAGTGATGCGATCTCTCCTCTTCTGATAGCTGCATGTGTTGTCGTCATGGCAACAATGCGCGCCTCGCTGGTGAGCAGGTAGTTTGCCTTGTCACGATCTCGTCGGAGGATCTCAAACGGAAGTGCATCAGCCAGCTCAGAGAAAATCTTGGAAATATGCCGGTAGCAACCTTCCACAGCTTCAAGCACTTGCTCTTTGCTGCTCTCTGGGTGGAAGATAGGTTGCGGGGCATCTGAAAAGTACGAAAGAAAGGGGAAGGCTGCCACAATCTCAGCAGCTGTTGATTCCTCGGCGTAAGCGATTTGCTTGAACCTGTTCCATGCTGGAGCGACGTAGACATTATTGAAATAACCTGCTGTCTCAGCCGAGTTCTCATGAGCTCCAGGGGCGCCAAGGCTAGTTGCTAGTTTCCTCACTTCCAGAAGATAGCGGTCTCGGTTTTCGAGGAATGACTCGACTCGACCATGCTTGCTGAAGTTTCCTTCCGTATCTAGATCCTCTTCGCCGTGTCCGAGCCGCAATAAGTGTCGCTCGTCGATATCGAGGGCCACGATCTTGGCAAACAGCTGGTTGAGTGCTTGGTTGCTATGAGCAAGAAGAAGCGTTTTCTGCTCGGGATAATTGTGATAAATGTTGTTGATAACCTGTGTAGCAACATCCGTCTTTCCTGTACCGGGAGGTCCAACAATGACAGTGAGTCCAGGTTGGGTGCCGGAAGCAATAGCTTCAATCTGAGCGGGAGTGAACCGTACCGAGTTGAGCTTAGGGTTATCAACGATATAAGGGCCGTTGTTGGGGGGCTTATAACTCGATACCCTCAGAGTCTCAATCTCGGCGATAAGTGCGGGATCGGCATCTCGGCGTCTTTTTTTGGAAGGCTTGTTGCCTTGAGGCTCCTCTTGCTTCTCGACAGACTCTAGTACGTAGGGCGGTCCAAAGCTACCAGAGACGTCGTCACCTGGGTCAATGATCTTACCAGGGAGACTTTCTGCTAGATGCTGCCAGTCGAGAAAAGTATCCCTAAAGTCGACCTTGCGTTCGCGGTTTGGCAAGTTCTTGTAATGCGCTCCAGCAGGATCCCCATAGCCGAGAAAGACCTCATGAAGCCATTCCGGCAGAGGAATATCTGACAGCACCAGGCTTCGAATGGATTCCAACACGGGCTTGAAGTTGTTTTCCCTTCTTCCTCTTCTCAGCAGAAGGTTGACTTTGCCATAAACATCAGGCTTGCCAGCCGCCGCCCGCTCAGCGTCTCTGCTATAAGCATGTGTGTCCAGCTTGAGTTGGATGCGGCGCTTGGTGTCAAGTTTTCCTGCGCCCTCTCGAACATGGCGCCCTTTATCGTCGGTGATTTGATGGATTGCGGCGGTTCGTACAGTTATCACACCTAGTCGTTCAGACTCTGACGAATTATCTCCTCCGTTGCTGATGGACTTTGCTAGTGGTGGCTCGACTGCAATGAGGAAAACAACATCGTCCTGTCGGAGAGAATCCCACTCTCTTCGGACTCCTTCACCTAGACGTCTAACGTCAAGAGATACTTCAGCGCGTACCGTGGATGGTTTGTCATCTCCAACAAGAGGAGGGACAATCTCAAGTATGGCTGGCTTTGAGATCGGCATCGCCATCTTTGAGAAACCGGCAAAGTTTGTTTCATCTGATCCCTTGGCCTCTGGGCGTAAACGCCTCAAAGCAGTCTCGATATCCTTTCGGACTCCATAAAAGGACTCGCACCGATACAAGATAAGTGACCGCCACAGAAAGTCACCTATTGAGAGATATTGGAGGTTCAGTTTAGGAAGAGCCATCGGATGTGAGCCATCATAAGTTTCTGCCTGCTGGAAGCTGTTATCGAATATTGTCTCCTCGGTTGGTGCCAGGCTCATGTCTCGTGCCTCCTCTTGGAACGTCTTTCTCCGCTCAAAATTAGACAAGAGCACTTCCAGCAACAACTTGCGATCCATTGGTAGACCCAAGCTTTCAGGGTAGGCTATCCGGAAACCAAGCAGAGATACTAGGCTCAGAAGTTCTTCGTCTGTCAACGGTTCCAGTAATGCCTGCAGTTCATGCCTTTGGTTAATGGAACCATAGTTCGACAGAGCCAGGACCATAAGCTTCTCTCTGAAATGTTTTAGAGCAACCTGTTGCAACTTGGCGAGTGACGCGCAATGTTTGTCGTAAGCCTCTGTCATGGTATACTGGGCCCCTGTCTGGTCATTAATATCAAAGAATGTAAAGTGGGAAAGCAAAGCCTGGAGGTCGCGGAGTAGAGTGTTTTCCTCATCATTAAACATTGGTGATAATCGCATAGCGGGAACAACATGAAGATCCTGAATCAAGGTATTGACATATCGTCTGGTTGGAAGCTGGCCCTGGAGATCGACAAGAAACTCAGTGAAACGCTCACAGTAGAGAATTTGGTCTAAAAATAGGTTGTCAGTGGGATGTCGCAGGAGACCAGGGCTAACATATTTACTTACCCGCCTTTCTGATCTCTGTATACAGCAGACTCAAAAAGTCGAGGAGAAGTGTATAAAGCCAAGATCGCTCGAACCGTAGTCGTGCCTTATTGGGCTCATCAGCGGCCTCGTATCGCTTGTGCGCGGCCTTCCAGGCTTTTCGTAGATGAGGGAGTTGATCTAGGCTAGCTTCGCGCGATGAGTCGGTGGACAAGTTGTGCCAAATACCGATCGATACAAGAGGGGCACATTCTTTGCGGACGAGAGTGCAGTCGAGACTCTGGAAAGCATATATAAGGAAGCAGAGAAGTTGAGTCCGGAGCGTAACGGATAGTGTTCGATCGAGCATCATCGACAAGAGTCGGCGGAAAAGTGAAGAGAAATCGGCGGGCCGGTCCTCGAAGAGTGCTAACAAAAATTAGTTATCGGTCTGACAGCAAGCCATAGGGACTCACTCCATGTCGCGAGATGCTCTCGATGTTTCACGTTTGCGATGAGCGCAATCAACAGAACGTGAAAGTTAGAGGCCTCCTCTGTGTATCCTGGCCATAGATAACTAAGGGGGATGGAGTCAGTATTCAATGTCCAGTTACTCGTGTTTCTGGCAGCCATACCTCTCTAAAGTCTGCAGGCTCTCAAGAAGCAAAAGAGACTTATACTGGAAGCCCTCGCGTTCAAGTACATCCCAGATACTTTGTTTGAGAACGTCGTTCTTCACCTTGGGCTTCGCTGGCTTCTTGCCAGCTTTCAACCAATGCTTTCGCGCCAGTTGGACGAACTGATGCTCCTCCTCCTCAACTTCGGCCGGGGTTGGCCGTCCATCGTTGACTTTTTCCTTTGGTTCGTTCTGCTTTTGCGCCTTGGCAGCGCCGCTGCCCTTGAGTCGCTTCACTGTAGGCATTGTCGCACTGTCGTGTCGTCATGAGCCTATTGAGTAGTTGGCGAAAGGTCGCTCATGGGATGAGGCTGCGGAGCCAAGGAGTCGCGTGACCGATGATATATGTTCGAAGAACGAAGCTGAACTTTTGGAGCTTGCACCTTGTATGTCTGAAAGCGACCTGCGCCTCTCAAACAAACCGTCTCCAGAATTTCAGCCTCGCAGACCCACGCGACGCGCTGACTGGGTCCAGCCACATGCAAAGTAGCTCTAATAAATAGATACTTCAACGCTAACGTAATTTGGCTGGATCTGTAGGTTTCAGTCTGATTGCAATACTTTTGGTGGTGCTTCCGCGACGTCTCAGCCTTCTCGCTTTGAACATCTACTCCAAGCGCAATACTGCGTGCCCATCCATTATCTTGATCAAAGAAAACAGAGCCTCCCTTTCTTGCTCATACCGACAAATCATTCGCAGCGTTTACGACATATCCTGGGAACTACCTTGCGATTCGATATTTGCACCATAGCGCATAAATACGACCATTATTATCCTTCATTCAATGGTACCCTCAACGAACTTTCATCCACAACGACTAGTCTAGTCGTGCATCATGGCAGCGCAAGAGATAGACAATCCAGCTGCACCGGCGATCGCAGCTTTCACGACTCTACTAAAAGAATTTCTTTCACAAGCAGAGACCGCCAAACCAACATCAGCAATTGAGCCGGCGCTGCGCAAGTCCGATTTCGACGACGTCTCTGGCCGAGTCTCCAGAACCGCGGACGATGTTTCAAGCCCAGCTGCTGAAGGTGCTACGTCAACGATCAACAAAGGGCGGCAGTTTGCTATAATAGAAACCGCGGCTCGTAACATATTCAGCCAACTCATTGTAAACCCGCACTCTCCCGTGCGATCCGCGGCTTGCGCTGACCAAAATAGGCGACAACCACCATCGATTCTCCCGACTATGTCAAGGTGTGGAACCTCCTCGACATCCTGTCGATTCTTTCCGACGATGGACAATGTGATCCCGCGCTCTTGTTCTGGCTAGCAGAGGAACTACTGGACAGCCAAACCATAGCTGGCTGTCGTAAGATCTTTGATTTCCTCGAGTCGAGGAGAGAACGAATCACAGCAAACCATTTCAAACAAAAGCAATTAATTATTCTTCGAACATGCAACGAATTGCTGCGCCGACTATCCCGTGCAGAAGATACTGCTTTCTGCGGTCGCGTCTTCATCTTCATGTTCCAAAGTTTTCCTCTGGGCGACAAGAGTTCTGTGAACCTGCGAGGCGAATACCATGTCGAAAATGCCACGACCTACGAGGCGACGCGGGCAAAGGACGAATCTAAGATGGCTGTGGACGAGCCAGAAGAGCAACTAAAGGAGCAAGCAGAGCCAAGGTCCACACCCAAGTCAGCCGACGCCAAAAAGGCAGACAAAGAGGAGCCCCTGTCGACAGACGAGCTTTATCCAATATTCTGGTCCCTTCAGGAATACTTCAGTCAACCTAAAAAGCTTTTTGAGACTACCAATTTGTCGTCCTTCAAAGAGGGTCTAGCAGCCACAATGAAAGTCTTTCAAACAGTGCACAACGATTCAAGGCGAAGCCTCAAACGAAAACGAGAGAGTGGAGAAGAAGATGAGAGTTCTAACACATTCAACCCCAAATATCTCACTAGTAAAGATTTATTCGACCTGGAGGTGGTGTCTCATAACTCAGTCTGACTCGAGGTAAAGCTAACAGCAATACAGATCAGTGATTTGTCTTTCCGTCGACATATTCTTGTGCAAGCTCTCATCATCATGGATTTCCTCATCTCACTGTCTATCCAAGCACGAGAGCGACTTACAGAAGCCCTCCCCGCCAATGCCAGCGTAAATAAGGCCGTAATGTACAGTGACCAAGTCCTGAGTGACGAAGACGTAAGTATTTCAGGACTACGACCACAGCAGAGAGCGCTTCAGCTAACCCCTTTTCAGGCTGAATGGGCTAGTGACATGAAAAAGACTATTGCGGACTACCTCCGCCAGGGTGCTGATGGTCCATACTTTTATCGAATGGTAGAAACCGTGCTGGCTAGAGACAAGAACTGGGTTCGCTGGAAGATTGAAGGCTGTCACCCCATCAAACGAGACCCAGTCTCGCCGGCATCCTTTCTTGAGGCAAAGGCCAACGTTCAGAAAATGGCTACCAGCAAGCGGCTAAGGTCTGTCCCTATGGGCTCTGTCTCCTTGGACTTTCTCAAGGAGGAGGATGGAGAGGCGGCGATGAGTCGACTCAAAACCAAGGAGCGCTATGAGCTGCCAGAGCTCGACACGTTCAAACGTAAAATTGCCGACGATGATTTTGAGATCGATATGCCAACAAACGACCAAACCAAAGCTGCTGCTATCGCTGGCAAGGCCAGCAAGAGCTGGAGAGCACTGCGAATCGCAGCGCGCTCAAAGCTTGCCGCACTCGACAAGATAGAAGATCCTAAGAAGATTGATATCGTGTTCGAGGAGCTTACAGAAGTGGATGATATCGAGGACACTTCTGAGCCCACAGCAAGTGAAGAAGATATGCCCTCGAACCGAGAACCTATCATCATCTGTGGCATCACAAGCGTAGGCAAGTCAACCATTATCAGAAAACTTATGGAAGAGCGAAAGGGCGTGTTCGCTCCTGTTGTCCGCCATACCACACGAGAGCCTGTTGAGGGTGAGGTCAACGGCAAGAGTTTCCACTTTGTCAAGCAACAAGAGTTCAACCAGCTACGAGATGGGGACCGCTTGATAGAATCAGGTACTCGGAACGGCGTCGATTACGGAACCAGTTTCAAGGCCATCGAGGCTATCTCAGAGAGTGGCAAAGTGCCAATCATCGAACTAGACATCGAGGTAAGTCAAATAATCGTCAAAATACGTACCTTACTGACATGCTACATGTCAGGCTGCCCAATATGCCAAAGATATGGACTTCCAGGCACGCTACGTGCTCGTTACGACATCTAACCCCGAACTTCTTAAGCAGCGCCTCAAAGCTTCGGGCAAAGAAGAACCTGCCATTCAAGATATCTTGAAGAAACACTCTACAGAACTCGAGTTGTGTAAGGTCGACGAACTGTTTGACACATCAATTGTCGACGACGATGATGTTGAAGCAGTCAAGGCTATTGAGAATTACATTTATGGGGAAAGTCAGGGCAAGCAGGACTTCAGTGAGGACACAGCTATGAAGGATGAGGAGGAAAATACCACCAAGATCGCCGAAGCAAAGGAGACCACGATGACAGATGCATAATACTGAGACGGAGCATGTCGAAATAATCGTGTACTATCTGTACTTGTAGAACAGTCTTAGGTGAACTAGTTGGCAAGGGGCAAAGCAATGTTCCCATAGTTAGTGCGAACTAGGTTCATCAGCCATAAGCATTCCACTGTCTCTTGCACTGTCAAAGAGGCAGAGCACCTAAAAAACATCAGGTTTCGGGCAAAGGGCCAATAATAAAATTAAACTATCTGAGCATCCAAGAGCACAGACTGCACTGAGCTGTCGACAAAGTGAAGGCAACAATGCACCACAGAAGCCTACCAGCCCGACAAAACACAAGACACGAACCAAATCAAGTACCACACGGGAAGAATGACTATATAAACAGGGTTTTACTCCTCGTCAGAAGACTCCTCCGAATCAGCCTCGGCAAGCCAGGTCAAGAAAGGCTCAGCAGCCTTGCGAACCTTCTTGGAGGTGGAAATGTCAGTGTACTTCTTGCTAGCCTTGGATCCCCACTTGGTCACAACCTCCTCGCTGATCAGGTCATAGTGGTAGTAGAGCTGGAGAATCTTGACGATGGACTGGAACATCTCGGGGTGGTCAGCAGCCAGAGTACCGACAAGACGTTCGGTTCCACCGAGCAGAGCCTTTTCGTGACGCTCAGAGGTAACAAACTGTAGGACGTTAGTATATGGATGCTTCGTAAAAACCAGAATTCAACATACCTGCTTGAGCATGCTAGCACGCTTGGGAATTTGGGCAACGATGTTCTTATCAAAGATGGTTTGGACAAGAACAAGAACACTACGATGCTTGCCTTCAATCCCAAGCTCCTTGGCCTTGACATAGATGTCGATGGATTCGACCTTGTCAACGCTGCCCTTCTCCTCAGCCTGGGACTGAATCCAGTCACCAAGCTCATCATAGATGGTGGGGCCACCCTCGCCTTCTTCGTCATCATCGTCACCAATATTGAGCTTCTGCTTGAACTCGCCAGGGAGAGAGGCCTGACGGGCCTTGACTGCTTCCTCGCTCATGTCAACAGCCCATTCATGCTCCTTGACTTCGTTCTCCTGAGCGGCTTCAGCGGCCTCTGCCGCGACCTTTTGGAACTCGTCGTCACTGCCAACGTCCTCGTCACCGTTCTCGTTTGAGCCGTTCTCAGATGCCTCATCACTGCCAGCACCATTCTGACCATTGGTGCCGTTGGCAGCATTGCCGTTCTGTCGAGCCTTCTTGGCAGCCCTGCGTTCGGCCTTGTCCTTCTTGCCCTTCTTGGGCTGGTTCTTGAGGATAAAGCCACTAAGCTTGAGGCGGATGTCGACATCGGTGCGCTGACCGCAGGCCTTGCAATCAAGCAGGATACGATCATCCTTGATGACAACATCGGTCTCAGGGTTCTTGCATTTCTTGCAGAGGACGAACTTGTTGATGAACCCATCGAGGTGGTCCTGAAGCTTAGGGGCATCATGAGCACCGTTGATAATCCAACGATCGTCTTTGGGGTCAATGTTGGTCTGAGCACCAAGCTCGAAACCAAAGTACTTAATGACATAAGAACCAGGACGGGCAAGAGAGGCAGCAACGCTGCTCAGGTTGACGACGACGGTCTTGATACCGTTTCCTTTACCTTCAATCTTGGTCTGCAGACGTTCCATCTTGTAACGATAGAAAGCATCGCTGACATCGCGACGAACGTTGACGAGAGCCATGGTGGCGGTATTGAGTAATTACTGTCTGAAAGATAGAGTTGACAGGGCAAGGCGGGTGAGCGAGGCTAGTGGTTGATGGAGTCGTGAGATGACGAGGAGATCATGTATAGACTTGGTAGCAGAAGATGACTTGAGGGTGGGCGGAGCAAGGAAGGTTTCAGTGCTCTTGATGATTTTTGATTGACATGTGGCAGACCGGATGTATGATCGGATGCTGGTGGTGATGCATAGACGACAATGGTGTCTCTAGATTTCAACCGTCGGAACTGATGTCGGGGCTACAAGGCTTTCGCGGTATGCGAAATAACTGCAGCTTGAAGAGGTGTCTGAAGACGGAGAGCTGGTCGTGCTGATACATAAACAGCAGTGTAGTTCGGCGGAAATATGTGTTCGGGAGGTCCGATGTCGTAGGGAGCAAGCGAAGACCGGCGAAGATGGTGCTCCAAGGCCAACACTACACTATGAACGATGCGAAGTTCGTGAGCCAGGTGTAAGTGGCGGGGAAGTCAGGTAGGCGATGCGCGCTGCGACCGGAAGAGTCAACAGGCAAGTATGGGAGTGAAATGCGCTTGGCGCGATGGGTTCAGGGCCGCTCGGTTGAGTTGAGTTAAGATTTGCTGTCTCGATGAGATGCAGAGTGTGATGTTGAGGAGGAGAAGAAGAGAAAAAGTGCAAAAGAGGAGCAACCAGGTGAGTTAAGAAGGAGGGAGGGAGGGGCGACGTTAGGGCCGACCGGGATTTTTGTTTTTTGGATGCCCGGAAGGGACGCTAAAGAATGGGGCAAGCGGCAAGAAAAACCTGACATAACCTCAGATTCAGTCAACATCAGAGGAACCAATACCTCTGATGTTGTGATCCAAACTGTCAGAGAACCTTATGGCCAAAATATTAGTACCTTGGAGATACTGTTTGAGACTGTTTTTGATACTGTGTTGCCAACAAAGAAGTCGCAAAGACTGAATTCCCCCAATGTTTGAAATACTACTACGTACCTACCTCAGGTAACAACAATGGAAGAAAACCTAGGTTAACTAAAATCCGAGTGCCCAAGGTTCCAGGTTTGAATCCAACAGTGACGAGGTAGATGATCAATCATGGATTGTACTTTCAGCGCCTCACCCGGCTCGTAGCGCTCATCCCAGGTAGTGATTCCCTGTTACACAGCTCGCTTCGCCAGGTGGGGGAGCCTGCTGTAGCTACCTAGTGTAGGTCTGTTCCGGGCGCCTCATGCTTAACTGCCAAGCCCCCGGCCTTCTAATATTGAATTTTCCTCACACTGCCCGTACATGAGGAAGCCAGGTACCTTGGTGAGCGTAACCTAACGCACTTGCATCGGTTCGGTCCATGGATTGGGTGGATGGTTGCCTTTTTTTCACGTTGTGATTTCGGGGATGCACCCGGAGAATGACAAATACGACATCGGTGTATTCGGATTTAAAAGCCACAGACTCCAACCGACGAATGCAATCACAACGTGTTGGTTGTTAGAGGGGTTTTTTGATTGTGAGTTTCTCTTACATAGACGATAGAAACACCCTCTACCCTCACTCAGCTGGAGTTGTTTGAGCTTTTGATATCTCCTATCGCCGAGTTGCCGATCCACATCCTTTAACCTATGACAATTGCACTGTATTGATGAAGCAGTCCTTGTTGGTGTGTGCGTGTGTGTCTGCTAATCGCGATTACGATGCACTGATCAAGCTCCCGTCTCTTCGTCAATGCTCATCAACTCGTCTGAGTCATAGTTCAGCCCTTCACGGGCACGAATTTGAGCAGGCATCTCTTTCCCCGAGGCCGTGAGGAGATCAGTTGATCGTCCATCGCCATAGAGTCGCTCCTCATTGATTCATCCGGCTCAGTTTCGTACTGTGAATACACGTCTCGCAGCAGGGTCTTCATCTCCGCCATGGCAAGACTGTAGCATGTGTTACTATCTTCTCTCTTTACACTCAGCAGAGCTACTCACTGTTTCCCGATGCATCCTCTTCCTCCACTAGAGAAGGCCCATTGGTGTCTTCGTCGGTCAGCATCTCCTTCGGCTTCCAACCACCTTTCAGGGTAGAATTTGTCCGGCTCGGGGAAGACATGATCGTTGATTCGGTGAACTGAAAGAGCCTGGCAACTGACAACTGTCCCCTGGGGTAAGGAGAATCCATCAATGACACGGCTGCCGTGGGGAACGTATCGAGGCAATGACATTGGAATGGCGGGGAAACATCTCAGTCCTTCATTCAGAACAGCATCTAGCATGGGCAATTCGTCAAAGTTGGCGTCAGGCTTGCTTCGAAACTCTTCTCGCAGAAGTCGTTGATACTTTATCGATCGGGGCAGTGAAAGTTCCCACATCAAGAAGCAGAGAACATCGCCGGTCGTATCGATGCCAGCGGCCATGTGATCGAGACACTCGGCAGCCATGTCGATAGTATCAAGGACGCTATCCTTCTCCTTAAGCCGGTTTAGAACGGTGAAATCTGCTGCACCATCTTCTTTGGCGTTTTCAATGACAAAGTTGTCGGCCAGAGGAATCAGTCGAGGTTTGGCAAAGCTCGTCAGAATGCTTGATCCAAGACGGTGTAGAATCGGGCTATAGTACTGGACCAGACGATCTAAGTTCTCTTGTGAGCTCCAACGCGTGATCCACGGCATATGAGAGCTTACTTTGAAGACTGTCATCGGCAGCAACTTGATGCATCATTTCTTCGTCGTCCTTACTTTGCAGGCAGTTGCTTCCATAAGGGTGGAACAACTGGTGCGTAACGCAATCACAAGCATATGCGTGCAACGCTGGTTTGGTCAGCTGTGTCGTTCTCCTCAATCGGTTCAGCTCCTTGTAGTCGGAACTAACCTCTCTATCTCAGTTTGTTAGCATACCCCGGAAAGAAAGAACACTCTACTCACAAATACGTCTGCCGTCTTGTCAGGCGAATCAACGCAACGCTCAACAAACCACCTGGAACGTTCTTGTATCCCGGCCAGGGGAGCTTGCTTCATTACGTTGCTGTTGGCATATCTATCGCCGATCATCCTCCGTCGTTTCGCATGCTGGAAGAAAGTCAGCTTGACTAAACATCGCGGCTTCTAATCTGAACTTACGTCGCCTTTAACCAGTGTTGAGAACATTGTCCTGTAAGGCACAGTCAGAACCGGCATCCCACTCCTATAACGTGGGTTCTTACCGCTTGCCGTAGACTTGAAAGAGGTCATAAAACTCTGTCTTATCGTATCCGCTACCACCAGAACCATAAATCTCTTTGAGGGCATCAATCGAAGTGAAGGAAACCTCATTGGGGGCGATCCTGACAACTGGGCCATATTTCCTATGAAGCTCGTGAATATATACGGTACGGTTGGCATTGAGTTCGTGCCATTTCAGTACAAGTGAGGTGAAGTTGGATATCAAGGGACCGGGAACCTTTGCCGTGGCCGAAGTCAGGCGGACAATGAGATGAGTAACAACAAGGAGAGCAGCAGCTCCAAGCATGAAGCTTGGTGAGAGTATAAACATTGTAGCAACGTTGATATGTTTGAACTTGACTAGTCGATGGCTGGTTCTCTCATTTCATGAAGGGGGAGAAGGAGAGTTGGAGCCGGCCATCAACCGGCTAGATTGAGGTTCTTATCACAAGGCATCTGAGATAGAAGCGCTCCGATATGGCTCCAACTGGTCGGGTCCAAACCCGAATCGCGTACTTCGTGTGGGTGGGATTGCTGCGTAACCGAGAGATAGGTTGATCCATAGTTAACCAGTCACGCCCTTTGATATTCTCTCTATTACATATCCGTATCTAGTTGTCGCTTCTTTGTCCCCGGTTGAGTAAGGTCTTCTCCACATTCTGGGGATTCCCGCGTCCACCTGCTTTTAGGATCAATGATAACATCCACACCCATGGAATTGCCATCAATGGATCTTGACTTGAAAAATGTTTTGATTTCTCTACCTTTTCAACCTATGATACAGCAATTTACATAGTACAGCTTGTCCATGATTCGTCCAATTGCTCACGCATGCCATTCGTTCTCGTCTGCTAAACATCCACACAAAGAAACAATCAACGTTGAAATTCCCCAACCCCGGCATTAATGCATGTGACTTGACGCCCTATTTCATGTCATGAAGTTCAAACTACCGACTTCCGGACCTCTCACCCCTGCAAATCCCCGCATTCGTGTTATCCATTGATAGCGTGGCAGAGATATGATGGCCATATAACTTCATAGCTCCGGCTTCTTATCACCGCCAGGTTTCTGATGATTACCTCCCCCAAGCATGCCAGAAATCCAACTCAGGCCCGGAATCTGCATGGGAGCCACAGGAGGATATTCCTTACTGCCGATCTTGGTTTTGGGAGTACAAGTACACCATTCAGCCTGTGGCACTCCGTCGAAGGCTTGTTGAACGTGATTGCCGCACCCACGCCACGACTTCTTCGCTATATAGGCTTCAATTAATATCTCACAAACTCAATTAGCGTAGATCAAATGACAGAAACTCACAGCATGTTGGGCAAGTCGCACTAAAGCACATGAAGGCAGGTTGTTCTCGTTCAGATGCGATAGTGAATGGCCAATTGTCATATCACCTCTGGGCAGGTCAAGTCAGGTATTGTTGGTGTGAATGTTTGACGCGCTTGAGTTCTTTTGGGGCGTTGAGGTTTCTTCTGGGGGCTTAGGTTTATATATCAGTGTTCTCGGACTCATTACATTGGTTGGAAGCGGAATGATCATAGATGAAGGACCTGGTCGCTGAATTAATTAATCGCCGGCTTGGAATGACGGTTCTCACTACAAGCCTACCCTGGACATGGGTTGATGAAGATATCTGTGCCAATGTTGTTCAACCCAACAGTAAAAGACGAGGATGTACTGTTAAGCGATGGTATTTGCTTCAATTTCATGGCCCATAAGTGGTCCTCATGCATGACACATTATTCATTTGGAATGTGCCTTTTATAAATGCCTTCTCATACATGTTCGGGAGTTACCTCCACGTCATTTAGGGGCCAGCCTCAAGCTCAGCTAGCTGGACCGTTTATTGTATGGTAAGCCGAAAAGAGGAGCGCTGTTCATGTCATGGTAGCTCATCAGAACAGAGGGACTTCAGACTTCGATCACCGGCCAGATCTAACTTGTGGTGAGAAACACAAGTTAGCCTCGTGCTGCCACACTTTGACACTGGATCAACACACACCCCTGTATGACAGGAAGCTTAGGAGTTGCTATTCATAGTATCAAATTGCCAGGGTACGCATAGCTTGTGGGATGCGCTGAGATTCAAAATTGAAGATGACCAGTTAAAAAGACAGGACTGTACGTAGAGCTTTCGTTTGATATAGTAGCAACGAACATTACAGTACACAAGACGAATGATAGAACGTATTGAATACCCTCAGAGATCTTTATAGCCACATAATCGTGTTGGGCTACATCAATCATTAGCAAAACAACCGGCAATACGCAGCATTGTCTTTCAACTGCAGGATCACATATTGGAACCCTGTCTGCAGACACAGCCTCCTTTCAACAGACCCCACTGTCCACAAGGCCAGTCTGGCCAACGTGCTCCGCTCAAGAAACAAGGACCTACCGAGACAACTTCCGACAAGGCTGATGAACCACAAGTGAGAGGTGATCAAAGCTTGAAGTACTAGCTCTCATCGGAGGGCTTATTGCTGACAAGTACGGGAACCTAAGCTTGGAAGTGGACGAACCCGACCTGTCTATAGTAGAGAGAGTCTCAACAAACCCGATGCTGACCATCCAAAGGTTGTAGTGCATATCGGCCACGCTTTAGTGTGGATACAGTAACGTTGGTACATATATCCATATTCTAGAAATATGTCACCTGTAGTTGAGGATATTGGTAGATTAACATGGAACGTGCTAACGCTGCTGGAGGTCCTGGCTCGTATCCAATTGTCTCAATTGGAATTGTCTTGTGCATGGTCCTATGCTAAGAGGTAACAAACATCTGTTTAAAAAACCATCAGTCTTGGGTAGCTTACCTATGTTGTAATTTTCCGTTTCGCAATCTAGTTCAGGGTCTTGGTCACAAACCCCAGGCTTGCCTTAGTACCTACTAGAGGTATGATCATACGAATACAGTGCCACAGGGTAAATAGTTACAGTCAGTCGAGGCTGTGCTGTACTCGGGCTGTTAGTAGGTAGTTTAGTACCTAAATTAGTAGGCAACTAAATAAGTACCTAGGTAGGTTAGAAGTTAGACGTTGTCTTATTCGTGTCGACCAGATGAGCCCTCATACACGATTCAATGGCATCGACCGCGCAATTGATCAAGTTAGTAACTCGGAACACAACCCAAAGGCATATTAGCGAGTGGTACTGTATCCGCCTTATCACCCCTCTGCTACCCAATCTCTTTAGGGATCCAGGGATGTTTGGTGTCCACGAGGTCTGCACGTACATCCATACTTAGGTAGCAGTGTAGCAAGTAAGGCGCTGAACATCCACTAACTACGGCCCATCCGTGGCAGCGGGTTCAGCACACCTAGGCACCCACCTAGAAACAGGCAGAACGGGATACCTAGCTCAATCAGCTTGCGTCGTGTCCCGTCCCGTCCGATCGGTGCCCTCCATTGCTTCTATAGGTAGGTACCTTAGTAGGTAGGTGGCTCCAAGAAGTACATTGCTTCGATGTACTGCCCCGGTTTCGATAGGTGACCTACCTCAGTAGTTACAGGACTTGACTTACCTCACCTACCCTTAGCTGGCATTGGACTCTATCTCTCTCATCTACGTCCCATAACTTCCGCCTGTTCCATTCTCTCCGACCTCACCTCAACACTCGCTGTGCGCGATTACCTCCTCCGAACTCCCTCCTCATCTGCCGTCCGCAACGACAATCGAAATCGCAGTATGAGGAACTTCCTCGGCAAGCACAGCAACCGGTCATCGCATGCGCTCAGTGAGCCGCGAAACTCGTCCAAGACGCCTGCGACTTCAACCCCGACGAACAACAGCCAGACTCCGACAGGCGGTAGTGCTGCGACTCCTCAAGCTGCAGGCCACCAGCGTCAACCAAGCCACCAGGCTCAGCAGATCCAGCCGGATCAACACTATCAAGTTCAGCAGCACCAGCAACTCCTTGACGAGGCAGACTCAGCCTCCCACGGCGCCCACTTCGGCCACTCGCACTCGGTCGGTGCCAATGCCAACGCTGCCAGTGCCAATGCGAGCGCCAACAATCCTTCCAACATAAACCCCCATTCAGCCTTGTCCTCGTCCCATAACACCGCCTTCAGCTCGAGCGAGTCCTTTGATTCACAACAGCCGCCTCCCCCCCCTCACTACCTGCAGAATCAACAGCCGCCGTTGCATCTCCAACATCCCCAGCAGCAGCCTCAAGGTTCTCTACCGTTACTGCCCTCCCCCTCCTCCGCTTCCGCTGGCGCCCCTCCCCCGCCGCATCTCTATAGCTCGCCTTCAGCCGCCAGTAGCACAACCGGTGCTAACATTAATCAACATCCTCCTTCTTTACAGCAGCAGCAGAGTTCCAACCTTTCTAACGTCGCATTTGATCCTCATCAGCCGCAGAGCGAATTCAACGACGCGAGCCTGGGCCGTTCGCAGAGTATTCGTTATAGCGCCGCCACGCCTTATAGCCTTCAGACCTCATCCGTAGAGGACCTGAACCGTTACGGCCAAATTCCACCCCAGCAGCAGCAGCAGCAGCAGCAAGCACAGGCACAAGCACAACAGCAAACAGCTCCTGTTGAGAAGCGCTCGACTCGAAAATTAATTAAGGGCATATTTTCTGGGTCCAATCGTGGGGCATCTGACGGCCAACACCACCATAGCATAAGCATCGGCCACAATAACAACCAATCCTACGATAATACTGGCGGCCTTGCACGTCGCCCTTCCAAGCGGGTGAGCAATCCACCGCCTTTCTCTTCTGAATCGTTCCCTGCTTTTGTTGTTCCACTCCTTACCAGTTATGAGCTGGAACCCCCCGTCTTCCTATCTCGTTTGTTCACTTGTCTCTTCCCCTCTCTCAGCCCAGCCCAACACCCCTCTCCCACTCCCAATCTCACTCTGTCTTCCTCTCTGCTCTGACTGTTATTCGGCAAAGCACTCGGCCAGCCACAGTCGTCAAGCCCAGTCCAGAATTTGACCCAATCTCCTTTCATCATCCCTAGCCCAAGCCCAAACCCCAGTCGTTAATTCTGGTACTTTGCCATACCATTGGCGTTAGCCGCCCTCGCCGCGTCCGCCAGCTCAAGCTGAGCTCCTCAGCAGGTCCAGCAGCTCCCCGAGAGTCAACGTTCCCCTTTACCCCAGCTTTCGTCTCGCCAAGGTCTCGACGATATCAATGAACACTATACCGCCCATCAATCTAACCTGCCATCACCTTCACAGACTTCACGAATTTCGCTCCACAACACCATTCGCCAAGTTTCTGGTGAGGTAGACCAACAACAGCAGCAGCCTTACGAGGACGCCGCCGTCTATCACCAGAACCAGAGCCAGGCCCCGCTACAGCAGCAGCTGCACCAACAACAGCCGCAAACCCACGTTCAGGTACATCCGGAGGACCAACAATCACAAAGTGGTTACGAGGCGAACGTGTACGACCAGCAACAATCACCTCTCAACCCACCACAGCATTCGCCTTCGCAACAACCTTATCAATTCCCGAACGCTCAACAGCAAGGCAACTATCACCAGGGTGGTAATCAAGGTGGAGATTTACGATCAGCTCCCGCACACTTGGGCCCCAGCGCACAGTTTCAGAACCCTGAAACAGTCTCTCAGTTCTCGCATGAATCGCCTATCGCCGACTCGGACCAGCGTTCGGCCAAACTGCAATCAGCAACCAACTCTCCCGCTGTGAACCACGCCCTGTATATACAGAATCAAGGTTCAACCCCGAGCCTCCCTCCTGCTCAACAGACAACAACTCAGCCGCAGCAACCCGGTATGGCACCACCGACTGGAGGACCTCCGTCCGCGCGCCGCCCTGACTCCGACAAATTGCGTGGGCAGGCCGATGTCCCCGGTGGCCCGCCCCCCACTTACCGTACCGCCAACTCCATGAACAACATGAACCCGCTACCTCCCGTGCCGCCACAGTCGGCCGGCCAGTCACCGGCTTACCGTGGCGATCGCCCTCCATATGAGGGCCAAACCGTGGATCAAGGAAGGGACAGCCCCCAGCCAGTATCTGCAGTCCCCGCTGAGGCTGGCGAAAATGACAAGTCTTTCAAGGACCTTTGTAAGTACAAACCAGAAGAATCTCTGCCTAGCCGCAGTGAGCACAGCATACTGATTATTTGCAGTGACTAAATACAAGAACGTCAAGAGACTCTACTTTGATGGTAAGGGACAGATTGAGGCCCTCAATGGCCAAATCGTGCATCTCCAGAATGCAGTCGCCAACCAGCGCATGTCGCAATCGCGTACCGCTCTCGACGACAGTGAATACTCGACACGATTCAACCGACTCAACGGTGCCATTAACAACCTTTCATTCAACATTCGAAAAGATTGGCGGTGCGTGCCACAATGGCTTGATAAGTATGTCAGCACAGAAGCACTCAAGACAGGAAAGGCTGAGATGACAGCCATTGGGCGCGCTGTGATCTCACGTTGGATCATGGAGGAGGTGTTCAACAAGTGTTTCCACCCTGGATTAGATGCACAGCTGAGCCAATCTCTCAAGGAGATTGAGCTGGGCATTCGAAGCAACACGCATACCTTGACTAGTCAGGAAGAGTTCGACGCCCTGACGAACAAGATTGTGAGCTGGCGGATGACATCATTGGACGGTTTGCATCGACAGCTCAACTCATCAGCTGCGAACGATAATCGCAATGCATTTATCGCCAAGTCAACGGCGTCCCTGACAAGCTGTCTTTACCAGTTTCTTTGCAACCCGCCACCACCTGGCGTGGACGGTAGCGCATCGATGATCGTGGAGCTTGCGGTGGGCATTGCAGCCAACCTTCCCCTGGAGAGTCGGGATGTGGCCATTACCTACCCGTTACCCGGAGAGATCGTCCAGCCGCACGTAATGGAGGTTGAGAAGGCTGCTTTGCCAGTCTTGGAGGCCCAGAAGGGAGAGGGAGAGGGCGACGACAAGGACGGCGACGATGAAAAGAGCGGCAAAGCTAAGACTGGTACGTTGAATAATGCAACCCCGCCCGAGAGCGGGGAGGGTAACGATGCTTCAAAGAGCGCAAGGACGGATGCTGACGAGGACACTTTTGTAGCGGCCCTGCCGAAGGACTCGAACAGGGTGCGATTCGCAGGATTTATGGCGTTGGAAGTCCGAGGGAGACAAGTACTGATGAAGGCGCCTGTCTGGACACTGTGAAGACAAGTACTTTGAGTATTGATAACTCTAGTACGATGAAGCTCAGGGAAATGAGCAATCAGCGCCATGTGTTGGCTGAAATGGCGAGGCGACAGTAGATATCCGGAGAGAGAACGAGGGCCCGAGAGTTGACCGAGGTTTTAAGGGGCTGTGGTAAGATGACCCCGAACAGGGCAAGATGGGACAGAGGATCACGAACGGCATGATGATGTTCTTTTTATTATTATTAGGGATACTGGATGCTGACCCTTATTTTGTTCTTCGTAAATACACGTTAGCATGAGACGAGCAGTTCATGATGCGACAAGGATTTCCTATTGGCATCTGACTGCATATACAAATTCGGTTTGGAGTCACGAAAAGGCTCCAAATCACGTAACGATTCGAGTATGGATGTATAATGAAGGTGCCTGACCTGGATTAGGATAAATGATATAAGTTAATCACTTACCGTATTTGGACTTGATACGAGATGAGTCGAACCTGGAAGGGTCCAAGCTGCCTGCTATTGAACTAAAGGCCTAAACTTAGTACCTAGGGCTGAATTCTACGAGGCCCATAAGATCCTGGGGATAGGGCACCTAGGTAGCTTCTGGAAGAGGAGGTACTTGATAAACGGCCAAGGAGTCATGTCTTGTCAAACGAGTCATCCCACAGTAGCAAATATCCATATGCGGATACCTTGTTGATTTATTAAGCAGGATCCTTTTCGCCTTACCCGCCCAATCCATAGTGGCAAGGTTCCTTAGCAATTTGCTTCAAGTGAGTCATCAGGCTCATTACTGTTTTCAGACGTCCATGCACTGAGAGCGACAACCTAAGTAACTTTTTAGTTGCTGACTGCCTGAGCTCCACTAACTATCTGATCCAGAAACCGCATTACATAAATAACGGCGAGAGCTCCCCCCCTCGCTCCCAAAAAAAAAGAAGGAGGGGCAAGAAAGCAAAACCAACCAGACGAAGAAAAAAAAAAACCTACGACGAGCATCCACTTTGCGATACCAACAATCTTCAACTACAACAAAACCTCCAAAATTCTAGACTCTACTACGACTTGCACGATCCAGACCACTACAGCAATCATGGCCGTCCGCGCTCAATTTGAGAACTCCAACGAGTATGTCATCTTTATTGTCTTTTCTTCTGGTGATTGAAGCTCCCTGCGCCTCAAGCACCCCGCCCCCGCCTTTCTTATGCGGCGCATATCTACCTCTGTGGATGATATGCCTCGTGCTGTACAATGTGTATGAGATTGAAATATCAGAACTGGATGCTGACATGAAATCTCCAGGGTCGGTGTCTTTTCCACCTTGACCAATTCTTACGCCCTTGTGGCTCTCGGTGCCAGTGAGAACTTCTACAGGTAGAGTCCCCTCACCTATCTTGACAACTAGTCTCATGCTGACATCTTGCAGTGTCTTTGAAGCTGAACTCCAAGATATCATTCCTACTGTGCGAACCACAATCGCTGGCACCCGTATCATTGGCCGTATGACCGCTGGCAACCGAAAGGGTCTTCTCGTCCCCACAACCACAACCGACCAGGAGCTGCAGCACTTGAGAAATTCACTTCCCGATTCAGTCCGTATCCAGCGTATCGAGGAGCGCTTGTCAGCCCTCGGAAACGTCATCGTCACAAACGATCACATCGCTCTTGTGCACCCTGATTTGGAACGTGAAACAGAAGAGATTATCGCAGATGTCCTCGGCGTGGAAGTATTCCGTCAGACTGTCGCAGACAATGTCCTGGTGGGCAGCTACATGAGCTTGTCTAACCAGGGTGGTCTGGTGCACCCCAAGACTCCTATCCAAGATCAGGACGAATTGTCCAGCTTGCTTCAGGTTCCTCTCGTCGCCGGTAGTGTCAACCGTGGTTCTAACGTTGTTGGCGCTGGAATGGTCGTCAACGACTGGCTCGCCGTGACTGGTCTCGACACAACTGCCACGGAGCTCAGCGTTATCGAGAGTGTGTTCCGCCTCGGCGAGGGTCAAGGCCCCAGCAACATCAACACGAGCATGAAGGACACCATGGTCGAGTCTTTCTACTAAGTTAGGCCTGATTTGTGTTTCTGTTTCTCACATTCATACATATACACACACACATGTTGCTTATGGGGCTTTGCTGTTACGTTACTCGTCCTGCAATTGATTGGACGAGCGATAACCATCGTCGCGCAACAAGACGAACAAACTTTTAACTTATACGGGGCCTGGTGTTTGGAAACTTGAATGATTTTGCGGTGCGATTGATATCAGGAATAAGGTATTCATGATCACGATGGTCGAATGATAAATACTCATACATGGACGGCTCTCGGCCCCCCCAGGTGGAAAAGGATTATGTGGTTCTATGGCCAGAGTAGGGATAGGCCTGCTCATCTACACGACCCATCTGATTTGATCTGTTTGGGTTGTAGGATCGTTGTTGCAGCAGGGTATATACATTGTTGCACATGCTGCGTTCCAGAAGTACCTGACAACGGGTACTTGAGGAGATCCATTACATCTCAAGAGTTTACGCCTCGCTAGAACCAATCTACAGTACATGGTACAGACAACCCTATCAAGTTCATCAGTGACGCCTGTCTGCCTATATATTACTAGTCTTTGTATCCTCAAGGTGAGATATGAGCTTTATACTTAGGAAGTGTTTACAAGAACTTCAGTTCTCGGTGCTGTGCCACTACTAAAACTATTCTGAGGGAATTCGTGACATGTTTGATGGATTTTGAACACCTCGACCCGGCTTGTATGGGCGTCAGGTACCTACCTAGGTAGGTAGTAGGTACCTGGATCGATCATAGACATCTCATAATCTATAAGTTTGAGCACCTCAGGTGCCTGTAGCTACCTACCTACCTACGTTAGCACATGAAGAATTACCCCACTTTCACCGCCTGCTCCTTTCGGACGTTTCTTCGATAACCCCACCACAAAATATGCCATCATTGTCACCGTTAATGTCAAGGGTTCAAAAGATTCTGAATAGCTTCATTCCTCTCCAAGCCCGAAACCAGTCTTCCACAATGTCCTCAAATGGAAAGCCCCAGCACCTTGAGCCGTCAAAGCTTGGCACAAAACAATAGTACCCTCTCCCTTGACCCGTCTCTCTCAAACTGCAGACTAACACTCTGCCCCAAACAGCTGGGATGACCTTTACACGAATGAGATAACAAATCATGCTGCCGATCCCTCCGACATAGGAACTGTTTGGTTTGACGATTCAGATGCTGAAGCAAAGATCCTCGAGTTCCTTGACGGTCTGATCGACCCCTCTGACCCAGACTCGCCTGTGCTCTCCCACGACACCACCACCTTCCTCGATCTTGGCTGCGGCAACGGCTCTCTTCTCTTCTCCCTCCGCCAAGAGGATTGGTCTGCAAGAGCTCTTGGCGTGGACTACAGCCCACAAAGTATTGCACTAGCGCGACAAATTACCACCACAAAAGACGACCTTGAGAAGCCTGTCGAATTTGAAGAGTGGGATCTTATAGCTGGACCATACAGCCCTGTCCTCAACGGCGAGCAGACCGAGGGCTGGGATGTGGTGCTGGACAAGGGCACCTTCGATGCCATCTCTCTAAGCGACGAGAAAGATGCCCAAGGACGACGGCTATGTGAATGTTATCGAGAGCGAGTGCTACCCCTTGTTCGAAAGGGTGGCATCTTCTTGGTGACAAGCTGCAACTGGACCGAGACGGAGCTGAGAGGCTGGTTCGAAAAGACCAGCGAAGAAGGGTTCCAAGTCGTTGGCAGAGTTGAGTATCGTTCCTTCAGCTTTGGAGGCCATAAAGGCCAAACAATCAGTACGCTCTGCTTCCGCAGGGTATAAAAGATATAGTAGATGCAGTGTAGTTTGAAGAACAAAGAAAGATACCCATCATCACTCTGTGCTGCCTACAGCACCTATTCTAAACAGTCAATATCATTCACTCTGAGAGCTCTTGTTGTATCATACAATGGTATTTGGACTCGTGTCAATGCTTGGACTATCCCTCTTGGACTCCTCCCCATTTTTGTGATCCCAAAGCTTCATCCGAGCTCATCTCCTTACCCCTTCCAGAGGATCCGCGTCAAGCTTTTGTTTATTGCGTCTTTTGCCGAACATTTCCCCTTTCTCATCTCAACTCAGCGCGGCAATGTCCGGCTCCAACTAGCAGCTTCTAATATGCAACATACGACTTCATAGGCTTCTGCCTGTCTTTCTCTCTTTCTGTAGTGATATGGACGGGACAAAACAAAAATCAGACAAAATCTGTCTCGACAATGATTATTGCTTCATTACGTCTCTCATCTATGGCGATGTATTCATAGGCTCCCCTCCAGCAATGGGTCCCGAGATCTCGGCAGCTGCTGTCGTCGCAAAATATCGCACATCCACGTCGTCGTCCTTTTGCAACTTCTCCAGGTTAGGAACAACTCGTTGTTGGATCAGCTCCGAGCCCCGAGGCGACGGTGTGATCTCACTGCCCTGCTTCTCCAGGTCATACAGGGTACCCTCGTCTGGCAGACGTCGAAGCACATTGATGAGAACGCGGTATGTCTTTGCCACGTTGAAACGGATGTTGGGAATATCGTCAGTGACTAGCTTGTCGAGCATAGGGAGGATCGACTTAGCAATCACATCCATGCTCACAACGCTCGCCAATGTCTGCAAAAGAGTCAGTTTGGGCTCACAGTTTCAGGCAAGGTGGGTAATCACCGAGATAGCGAAGCAGGTGGTCATCCTGTAAAGGTAGTTAGGGTGGTTACCCATAGCCATAACCTTGGGGATGATAGCCTCGCTGGCCCACTCAACACCAAAGACCTCAGTGAGCTTCTTCAGGTTGTGAGTGGCGGCTTCACGAATTGAGAAAACGGTATCTCCCAGCCAACCCATGCACAAATTGCTGAGCTTCTCATCGAAGAATTGAACGCCCAATTGACTGGCGAGGAGAGGGATGTACTCGATAATCGCAAGTCTTACTCGCCATTGCTTATCCTCAGCGAGTTGTACAATTGCGGGAAGAAGTGACTGTGAGAGGAGGTCGATACCGATGACTGCGTTTCGTGAGCTTCATATCATACACAATGAGGTTTGTGACTGACCTTGATTCACGAGCTCAAGCTTGGAGATGATGTGGAGCCTAACCTCCGGGAACTCGTCCTTAAGCATCTGGAGGAACATGGGGAGAAGGTGGTCGATAGTTCTAAGAGGGAAATTAGAATCGAGGCCCTGCTCGAAAAGACTGACTGACGTACTCTTGCTTTCCAAGGATAGGGGCCAGGCCACTGATCTGAGTACCAAGCGCAGCACGGACGTGTTGGGATGTATCCGAGACAAGATCCTCAATACTGCCCATGATGTCGTTGAGGAGCACGTTACGATCCACAAGAGCACAGAAGCCGGGAATCTGGCCAGCAATAGCGGTTCGTACTTCGGCTTCGTTGTCCTTGAGAAGTTTTACGAATGCGGGAACGAGGTCTCTAGAAACAACCTCCTCGTCTACCGCCTTAGCAATCTGTAAAAATTAGCATCAGCAAGGAAAATAAGAGGTGGCAGATGTTGTGAACCTTCTCGAACCGATCCGCGATCATGTATCGGACTCTCCAACTCTTGTCCTCTATCAAATTGCGTAGAGCTGTCAGCAACACACCATGGCTGGCCTGTTGCTCCTTGGGAACGGCTTCGGCAATAGAGATGAGAACCTCGACTGTGAGTAATCGGACGCTATCCTGATCATCTTGCGCGAGGTGTTGGAAGAGGGGTATCATTTCGTCGACAACGATGGTGGCGGGCATCTCCTTGACAAACTTGGCGAGATTGGTGGCAGCCTGGCGACGGACCATGGGTGTCTCATCGTGAACCAGCAGGCCAAACTGCTGGCGCAGCTGCTCTTGGACGGGCGGGGAGACTTTGTTGTACGGAGTTGTGAAGAGGCCACAGCCCGAGACCTTTGATGTGAACCAATCGGCCTTGGCGAGGCGAATTGTGAGGGGAATGAAATATTCCTCGACTTGTTGAGAAGAAAGCTCGGTGCAAATCTTGTTCAGAGACTCGACGGCCTGCGTTGACAGTCAGTGTCAGGAGGGGCGATTAAAAGAACGGCGTGTTCGTTTACCTTGTCGCGAACGACGGGCTCCTCGATAGAAGCAAGGTTCTCGAGGGGAGACAGCAGAACGTGACCCCACTGGGAACCGCCGACATACTCGACAAAGCCGCCAAGCTCCTCGCTCAGGGCAACAAGGACCTCATCTTCATCCTCCACGGATTCTGCATAATATCAAGGTTAGGAGACGTCTTTGTTTTTAAAGCGCATGTTGGTAAGCGGGAGAGCTAATCGAAGACTGACCATCGAGGAAGGGGATAAGCTCCTCGCGGGTTCGTTCAGCGCCGAGAGCGAGAGCAATAGTCGAGAGACGGTGGATGGCGTTGAGACGGAGCAAAACATCATCGTGCTGGAGAGGAATCGAGAGTCAGTAATGAACGTGTAATTGTTCGCTTCTCGGCGATGAGACAACCACGCAGGAAGGGGAAGCGTTGGGATGGAGCGTGGCGTCACCGCCAAACCTAGCATACCTTCAGCTCGTCAATAAGGACGGCGATAGGGTACAGCTCATCGCCAGAGTTGGGCGCGTCAGCCATGGCGAGCGGGGCGGTAAGATCGCAGATTTATCAAGAAAATGAGTGGCAGCGTCCGAGATGAGTCGAGATGATCGTTAGGAGGGAGAGGAAGGTTGGCGGTTGCGGGTGGATCGCGTGTGGTAGTGGTAGTGGTGCTGTGCTGTGCTGTGCTGTGCTGGTGGGTGATGCAATGATTTGCGCTGAGGAGTCCCAACACACGATTTTTGGCCGAAAGACGAGAGCCACAGACGAGGTCACGCAGGGGCTGGGAGCTGTAAGAGACGCTCAGCGCAGAGAAAATGGGAACCTAAGGATGCAGAGTTAAAGGGCAAATCCGTGGCCTAAATCAGCAAGGTTGTCGAGGTTTGAGATGTGGACATGTGAATCGATAGATGAGGGAGGGAGAAGAGGGTGGATGTTTGTCTCTCGCTGGCTGAGGTGGTCAGTGGAGGTGGGTGAGGCTGGTGCTGGTGCTGGTACAGTACTGTTAGGTAGGTAGGCTGCTTCATTTCATTTCACTTCACTTCACTTCGATGCTGCGTTGTTCAGCGACCGATGCCCTGCTAGGAACGCTGCCTTGGAGAGGGGCAACCGCCTAATGCCCCAGGTGAACAGCACCGACAGGGCCCGGGCAGCACTGGCTGGCTAGGCTTGGTAGCTCAGATGTGGCTGAAGTGGGGTCAAAGTGGCTCCTCATTTCCCTGAGAAACATGGATTTTTGAGTGGCAAGCTCTTTTCAGTCTTGCCTTTAGACAGGGCGCTTTAGGTACACTGTGGCTTGAATCTGGGGATGGCAATAATTATTACTCCGTCTTTGAAGCCAAGACTGTGTGAGACCAGAATCGAAACCGTCTTTACCAATGCCCGAGAGCGTACTGTACTTACGGTTCTCGCGGGACGGGTATGAGCATAAAACCCAAACCTTCTGAGGATGCATCGGTTTTGTAAGATCGTATCCGACGTCACTATCATATCTGATCAAGCCTTGAAATCTTGAGCTCCTAGCCCCGCCACTCCTCGCTCAGTGCAGACATCATTATGCATATATCTGATGTTTGGAATTAGGCTGCGCAAGTAGCTAATAACCCTGGCAAATTCACGATGCAACAATACATTGTTTCAGAGCTGTTCGAGCTCAGTATTATTGTTGGTTTGCCGACTTTCCTCGGGTTAGGTTGATGAGTGACATTCAGACAAGATGATCGTTCATAATTAGAGTTAAAATGTCTAGCGTAGTCTAATTTACTTACCAGACAAAGTGCCAGCTGTTTTAATGTCAACTTACTGGCATAAGGCAATACTAATTCTATTAAGAACAGGAAGTTCAAGAAAGCTTCTTGGTACCTGACGGTGTTGCCGGGGATGGAGCATAGATGATCCGTCATTTTTACCCCGCCAAACCCGATCCATTAGAGTGGTACCGTCACAGCACACTATGGCCCTGCATCTTGTCAAGTACCCGAGTATCGCATCGTCGCATGCACCCCGAACTACTACCTAGTACCTACATCCCCAAAAATTCCTGTGACTCAGTACAATCTACGCCCAAATCCACGTCCGACGTCCGACGCTCGACGGAAGACTCACCTCTCGCCTCTGATTCTTCGGAAAAAGGATAATTTACCAAGCAAGGCTCGAGGCTCTGCTTCATCATGCCTACCATTTCCGTCGACAAGTACAAGCTTTACGAAGCCCTCGGTCAAAAGTGCGAATGCCCCTCCTTATTCATATCAACCCCCACCATGAGCTCTCCGACTTCGCGCCCAAGGTCTCCCTATACGTGTGCTGACAGCTCTTGTTCCTATTGAAACAGATTCACGACCGAGGAGTTTGAGGACCTTTGCTTCGAGTTCGGTATCGAGCTTGACGAGGATACTGAAAATGATGAGCGTCCAATTGTCAACGGCGAACAGGAGCCTCCTCAGCTCAAGATTGAGATTCCCGCCAACCGATATGATATGCTCTGCTTCGAGGGTATTGTCACCAATCTCAACATCTTCCGTGGACGTATTGAGCCCCCCAAGTACCGTTTAGTCGAGCCCGCGAGTGGCAAGCTTGAGTCAATCACCGTCAAGCCCGAAGCCGAGCAGGTCCGGCCATATGTCTCTGGCGCTATCCTCCGCAATATCAAGTTCGACAAGAGCCGATACGAGTCCTTCATCTCTCTACAAGACAAGCTTCACCAGAATCTTGCTCGGAACCGAACACTGGTCTCAATTGGTACCCACGACTATGATACGATTCAAGGTCCCTTCACCTACGAGGCTCTCCACCCCAAGGATATAAAGTTCATCCCCTTGAACCAGACTAAGGAGATGGACTCTGCCGAGTTGATGAACTTCTATGAGAATGACAAGCACCTGGGCCGCTTCCTACACATCATTCGAGACTCACCAGTCTACCCCGCGATCTACGACTCAAACCGTGTTGTCTGTTCCCTTCCTCCAATTATCAACGGTGATCACTCCAAGATTTCACTCGACACCACCAACGTTTTCATTGAGATCACCGCCACCGACCTCACCAAACTCGACATTGTCACCGACATCATGGTTACCATGTTCTCCATGTACTGCTCTGAGCCTTTCACTGTCGAGCCCGTCCAGATCAATTCCGACCATAACAACCAAACCAGAGTCACTCCCAACCTGAAGCCCAGAGTTGCTGAGGTTGAAATCGACTACCTCAACAGCTGCACCGGGCTCAGTGAGTCTCCCGAGAGCCTGTGCAAGCTTCTCTCCAAGATGTCTTACACCTCTACGCCATCAACAAGAGATTCCAACATCCTCGAGGTTGCTATTCCCCCAACCCGAGCTGATGTCCTGCATCAATGTGACGTGATGGAAGATCTTGCCGTGTGCTACGGATACAACAACCTTCCCCGTACTGCTCCTTCGCGAAGTGCTACGGTTGGCGCCCCCCTGCTGGTCAACAAGCTCAGTGATATTATCCGAATCGAGGCCGCCGTTGCTGGCTGGAGTGAGGTTATGCCCCTGATCTTGTGTAGTCACGATGAGAACTTCGCTTGGCTAAACCGCAAGGATGACGGAAACACCGTCGTACGTCTGGCCAACCCCAAGACCGCTGAGTATCAGGTCGTGCGATCAACTCTTCTACCTGGTCTTCTCAAGACCATTCGCGAGAACAAGGGCCACAGCGTGCCAATGAAGATCTTCGAGGTCTCTGACGTTGTATTCAAGGATGAGTCTCAGGAACGCAAGGCTCGCAACGAGCGACATTTCGCCGCAGCCTGGTATGGCCGAACAAGTGGTTTCGAGGTGGTCCATGGCCTGCTTGATCGTGTTCTTCTCATGCTTCGAACTGCTTTCCTCACCCACGAGGAGGGTCTTTCTGGCAAGAGTGTCGATTTTGAGGTAAAGGAGAACCCTGGCAAGCCTGATGGTTACTGGATCCAGGAGCTTGACGATGCCACTTTCTTTGCTGGCCATGCTGCTTCCGTATACCTGCGTCTTGGTGGAAAAGAGAGACGCATCGGGGAGTTCGGCATCTTGCACCCTACCGTGTTGGAGAAGTTTGATTTGAAGTCAGCCCCCATGCCGACCAGTATCGACGTGACATCGCTAACATATTCATAGATACCCTGTCAGCACTCTCGAAATCAATCTCGAGGTCTTCCTGTAATGTCAAAGAATCTAGAGAAAACCTACAGCACGAGGGTTAGGGCAGCAAAAAAGGGCTACGGACGCAACGAAATCATGTGGATATGATTCAATGTCAACAGACACGCTTCCACAACTAAGATGACTTTTCAAGATAGACAAAAATAAAGAAGAAACCAAACAAGGCTGGGTGTTGAACTTATGAAAAGGGTTTGATTCACTATACTCTATAACTACCTACCTAATTCACCTAGTCTGAAGGAGTCTATTGCTGTCTAAGCCCTCGCCGTGTACCGCGTGATTGGCGCAAAATCAGAATGTCATCACCACTCAAGTTAAACGCCAATGCCGGCTCATGATATGCCTCTAACGCCAACAAAAACGTCCGCATGTGTAACCAGGAAACCAAGTTTGACAACTCGGACATCATGAACCCGAATGCTCTGCTTACATCTCAGAATGTGCCATCGCACGCCTCTGCCCATCAGATTTGGAGAGGACTCTCTCGAGATTTGCCACAGGTTTTGGCATTTCAATAGTTGGAGAGTGACACGGCGTCGGCAGGCCCGCATCGGGCTGGAGGCCATCAATGGAGTCAAGTCTTGAGCGAAGGCCCAAAGACTCAGAATCGCGCCGCTTGATATACTCCCATTCTCCACTGAGATCGCTGGGTACACTGTAGAAGCTGCAGCGCTCGAGCGCTGACGGTGCGTCAGACTCTGTTGTCAGAAGCGGCAGTGCTATGGGAGGGTGTAGCCAGGGACAACAGTGCCGCACGGATTCATGGGTCTCGACAATCAAGTAAGGGCCAGGATCTGACTCTGGAAACATGACCTTCTATGTCATCTCACGTAGCTCCTGGTCGCTACGAGCTGGTGCGGGGGCTGAACTTGACGATGATGCTGACTCGCCAGTATTTGTAAGTTGCCCCAGCATTCCCTTGCCTAGATTGAGACCTGCAATCCCGTCTCTGATAGCGGCAAAGGCGTTACCGCTTGGTTCGGTAGATGCGCTCCGTTCGATTGGTGCATATCGCGACTCAGGGGTGAGTGTCTCGTGGGCAGTCTCAACTCCAGTGAGAACCGAGGGCGGCCCCGACTTGGAACTTGAACTGGATGACCGGGGATCAGCATCTGCTTGGATAACGCTAGGATACTGTAAATTTGATATGGCGGTTTGGCGGTCAGTCTCTGCTGCTGCAGCGGCGTTCAAACCGCCGTTCATCTCATCCTCGGTTCTCCCGAACAACTGATGCCACCATCTTATCTCCTTCAGTCGCGGTAATAGGATCCGCTCCTGTCCTTTGATGTGGTCGTCGATACTGGCATCGAAATCGGGGTTTTTGAACTCAGCTTGTCGACACAGAAAGTAGTCCCAAACGGAAGACGTCCGTTCTGCAGCTCGCGCATCTTTTCTCTGCTTCTCTGAATTAAAGAGGAAAGTGCCGTACTGACAAGAGTACAGGTGGTACAGAAGGCGGCGCAGGAAGCGCTCGTTATACTCAAAACGAGTCTTGTTTTGGCGTAAAAGTTGATAGGTGCAGTCAAGAAACTGGTGGAAGACAGGACTGACCATCTTTGGAGAGGTGGCTTCATCGTCAACAACCTTTCCAGGGGCTGTTTCACTAACTGCAGCCAAGTCAGGGTCATCTTTATTCTGGTTGAAGAAACGCTTTGCACCACTCAGCACATTCTGGAACGCGTCACCCCGGCCATCGTTCTCTCCGGGCTGTACCTTGGAACCTGCAAAAGCATCTCTCTGCACAGTGAACCAATCCTCGTGGTTCAAGTGACCCGATCGAAGCCTGAACATGTGACCAAAAGACAACCAATCTTTTTCCACAAGAACAATGAAACCCTCAATTGTGCGGTAGTATGGGTCCAGCATGATTTGAGCCAAGGCACTGAGCTGGCTCGTACGGTCCCAGCCGTCGGAGCAGTGGATGAGAACATGTGAATGGTTGATTCCGATCTGTCTTGCAATTATCGCTGAGCCATCCAGAACATCATGAATGTGCCGTAACCAGCCACTCTGATGGAGCAGCTCTCTGTTTGGTGGCAAAGGTGAAATGTCGGCGTCTTTGAGTGCGTCGATGACCTTGTTGAGGGAGCTTCGCATGACGTGAATATTCTCAATACTAAGGAATATCTTGCGTGCAAACTTGTACTTGTCCATATTTTCCGAGCCCATTCCTTGTACCTGATTCACCATTGCATTGATAGTAGGACGAGCATCCACAATCAAGTTGCTCTGCTGTGCACCATATACTTGACGCTTCCCGGAAGAATCGTAAACAGCAACGGATCTCGAAATGAGTTCATCTTCATATCGTTCAGTCTCCGAAAGCTCCGGCTCCAGCGACGAGTTTTCAAGGGAGACATCGGGCTGGCTCGATAGAGGAGTGCTTTCCTCAGAACCTGGCGGCAAAAGGGCGTTGAACGACGCCGCTACTAATTTCTCATCTTGCACGTTTGTCTTCCTTGTGATGCCGGAGAGGGGCTGAGAGCTTCGAGTGATGGTACAGTTGTTTACTGGATGGATGTACGACAGAGCCGGCACACGGTTTCTCGAGCGGAACTCCTTCGCATATTTAAGGACATTGTCCGATATTTTGGAAGGAACAACCAGAAAAGCAGGATACGTATCGCAAAAGGTATAGTCCTTGTTGATATGCGTGATCCTCCAACCTTTGTCAGGCAATTTCTCGCTTATGCCCTGGCGTCTGAACTCTGCTTTTGGATCATAGACCGACCAACCGTCAACCTCTCGCTCATGCTTTAGAGGCTTGTGGGAGAAAGCATAGAGCTTCTCTACTGTCCCTAGTTTGCAAGTTCGAGACTTGATGAAATCGAAAGCTTCTCGGGCAATCTCGCTGTCGGTGAAGTTGAATGTCACAAAGGTGAAGTCACGACATCGCAAACGGATCGATGGAGCCTGGCGAGATCCAGGTGGTACTGGCCGAAGTGCGCAATAGCACAGCATGGGATATGGAATCCATCTCTCGCGAACTTTGGGTTTGTGAGACGAACTTTCTGAGGGCTTGGCGGATTGATCGATGGGTGCGCAGAATACCAGGTGGAAATCCGTCAGTCGCAAAGTGCCATGAGTTGTTTGACCGCCATAGATACCCTGGACGCTTTCGATGATCTACATGACGTTAGGAGCCGAAACGCAGCGCAAAGCCGTGCATGAACAGGCGGGATGCTCTGAATGGCGACTAGAACCAGGCGATCACGCGTACCTTTCGGGCTTCCATTTTGGCAAACCGTTGCCTTATCGACTTTTATTCGCTAAAGCGCGAGAGATACCTCTTCGTCAAGTGTATGTTGTATCAATGATCTCTTTGTAGGTCGGTGTGGGGGACTACTCGGAAGCTCTGGTGATGTAGTAGAGGTAGCTCAATATCGCGGGGCCGCCGGAAGATGAAGAAGTAGCTGTTGTAAGGCGACCTTAGGAGGAGAGGTTATGAGACGGACTCTGACATATTTGTCACTTCCAAAGTAAGAAAAATTAGAAGCGCATGGGGCAAACCCTTGGCCTCGACTTTGAGTATTAATGGATGGAGTTTCTTTTAGAGCCAGAGACAGCTCACACTCATCATCACGAGCCACAGGCGCCCACTTAGCATCAGGTAAGGCATATGGCAGGAGGGGCTCAGCGCTGTCAGCTACCAAAAGAAACCGCGACGTCACCCCAGAGGTCAGAGCCACCTAGACATGGTCCAAGCACTTTCCCCATTTTGGGCTACATGGTTCATCTCGTTAATTTTGTTTCTCCGTTCTCCGACCGAGAGAATGTACGTACCTAGGTACTGGTACACATCTCCTCCCATTCAAGACCCACTTCTCCAAACGGAATGTGTGACTTGGGACCCGCCTGCCGAATTAGGGCTCAACCACACACCAAAAAATATTGAGCGAGTAAGCCAACATTTGTGAGTGCAGTGAAGCCGAAATCCACCCAGGATCGCGAATCTTTCTCTTCAGCCCGCCAACCCTCAGCTCGCCAACAGACTCAAGACAAGACACCAAGTCAAGTCCAGTCCCGACAAAACAAGTCCTATTTTCAAGATGGCTCACCCCGGATCTCAGATGTGAGTTGTTGACATTGCAATTCCGAGCCCCTTCCTTCATCAAATCGAAACATCGCCATCGTCACCCCGCCAAATACCATCCTTTTGTTAGAATGGTCGAGTCAAAAGTCCAAGTTTCACTAACAATCTTTTTCGCAGCTCCAAGCGGAGAAAGTTCGTCGCCGACGGTGTCTTCTACGCCGAGCTCAACGAGTTCTTCCAGCGTGAGCTCGCTGAGGAGGGCTACTCCGGCGTCGAGGTCCGCGTTACCCCCACCGTCACCGATATCATCATCCGAGCCACCCACACCCAGGAGGTTCTCGGCGAGCAGGGCCGCCGCATTCGCGAGCTCACCTCGCTCATTCAGAAGCGATTCAAGTTCCCCGAGAACTCCGTCTCCCTCTACGCCGCCAAGGTCCAGAACCGTGGTCTCTCCGCCGTCGCTCAGTGCGAGTCCCTCCGATACAAGCTTCTTAACGGTCTCGCCGTCCGACGTGCTTGCTATGGTGTCCTCCGCTTCATCATGGAGTCCGGTGCCAAGGGTTGCGAGGTTGTCGTCTCCGGTAAGCTCCGTGCTGCCCGTGCCAAGTCCATGAAGTTCACCGACGGCTTCATGATTCACTCTGGTCAGCCCGCCAAGGACTTCATCGACCACGCTACCCGCCACGTTCTCCTCCGACAGGGTGTCCTGGGTATCAAGGTTAAGATCATGCGCGGCTCTGACCCTGAGGGCAAGGCCGGTCCCCAAAAGACTCTCCCTGACGCCGTTACCATTATCGAGCCCAAGGAGGAGCAGGCTGTCCTCCAGCCTGTCAGCCAGGACTACGGCGCTAAGGCCGCCCAAGCCGCTCAGGCTGCTCAGGATGCTCGTGTTGCTGAGGAGGAGGGTGGTGAAGAGGCCCAGGCTGTTGAGCAATAGGATGCTTGAATCACCAGGCTGGGAATAGCCGCCAAAACCTGATGAAGGAAAGATGGAGATCCGTGGGATGAGAGACGGAGGTCTACTCAGGCGTCAATTGATCATTTGCATCTGCTAAGGGCACGGACGGTTTCATTCTTGCTTGTAATGGTAGGCAAAGCATAAAAGAGAAAAAATGAGACCCCATGATTACGACGACACGTCTTGTGACTGTGTCTTCTGTATACCAACACCTTGAGTGCCTCTGAACGACTCTTGAAGTCTTGTTTGAACTGAGTATGTGAATGTTTCGTAGACAGTGGAGACTGGCTTGCCTACATAATGTCGAGCTGACAACACTCAAGTCTACTTATCACGCATGCTTGTCGTACGCTAACAATCCACACCACGGCTCAGGGGGGTCGTAACCGCGATAAGGCAGTCAATCATGCCGTTTACGGTCATCTGTGTCCTACAAAGAATCTCAGATACTGTGTTTGGGTTTGGGTATTTGTCGATTTGTCGATATCTAATCATATAGCTGTTTGAAACGAACAGCCATGTTCGGTGATGTAGTCAATAATATCTAACTTCGTTATTGAGCATCTCAATTAACTTACAGAACTGGCCAATAAACGGATAGTTCTGACCACCAATCACCATCATTCACAATTAAGTAGACAAGCAAATCGTGGACGTAGTTGGAGGAAATAGGTTATGTGTACATATGAAGTAAAAGCAGGGATCCAAAATATATCTTCACCAGGCTGGTGAGATATAGTTAAGACGAAAAGGCACATCGCGGACAGCACAACAGAGAACCAAATATAATGAGGACTTGACATCTATAAGCTCAAAACTTATTTGTGTGAGATACATTTCCACCCGCAATTTCATTGTACCAAACGTCGTAATAAATTCTTGTCTATAGTAGGTAGCCTCTAGCTTTCCCTCTTTTCTTTGTTAAAATTCAAACTTAGCTTCCTCGAACCGAGAAAAAGCCCTGCGACTTGGATAACAGATCTACCATACCCGAAACGTTCGTTCATGCCCTGGAGAATTGAGGCAGTGATATACGCCCTTTCATCGCCCTTTCATCGCCCGATAGACGTAAGACAATGACGCCTCCTTTAATCCGAAACCATCCCTGTATAAACGGCCCTGATATGGAAGTTCGCCGTCCAGTCCCATCCTATCGCTCATGCTCTGTAGTTATCGTACAACGAGGATTCGCCTGTCGCCCCAATACAAAATCCGCCAACGCCGCCCAAGACCATGTGCCCATAGTACTCCAGTAATAGCAAACAATACATGTCGTCGATTTCGAGTCCCAATCCCGTTTGGCATAGGTAAAACACAGTTGGCACCAACATTAAAGTATGCCGTTGCGTAATGTACCATCCGCGAATGCAGCCCATACTCCGAGAGAAATGCCCGGTCAAATGGTTTGAAAATGTACAAAGCCTGTTTGAGATAATGAAACATGCAAGATATCGTTTGCGGAGCTGGTGACCGGTGGTTAACCGATATTCTATTACTCCGCCATTACGTTGCTGGGAACGTCACAGGCCATCACCGATCGCCTGACTTGTGGCGGTTATCGAGCTCGATGTTTTCGTCATAGCTCGCTTTTCCATTGCCGTTGGCATGCCGAACATCTTCGTCACTATCCGAGGCGAGGTCGGTCAGAGCGAAACCAGCAGCTTCTTCCTCGTCGTATGCGCGAATGAGACCCTCACGATCACCGCGTTGGCTGCTCATGCTGTGTCGTGAGGGATCGCCGCTTCTCCTTGCCTGCATGCTCAGACGAGTTTGTAAACCAGAGACCATGTCGGTACCGGTGGCATCGCTCCCTCCTCGTCCGGCGGTCAACCTTTGACCATGGGGGTCACCTCTAGAAAGGTTCAGGAGATAGACGCCCGTGAAAGTGACCAAGAATCCGCAAAGCAGCGAGAGGGTGTTGACTGGGTCATTCGTGTTGAATCCGCTGAAGAGGATAAAGGAGGCACAGAGGGTGGCGGTGGTGAACGTTACGTAGTAGAGAGGGTTGACGCTGGCACTACTGTTAGCAAAGGCCAACTGTCAGAACTCCATAAGCCACTTACATGTTAGTGGGAAAGCTGGCAAGAGCTTTGTTGAAGTAATTCATCTGAGTCACAATGCATACGGCCGTTAAAATCATGAAAACGTATGTCGAAGGGTGGCTGAACTGGTTGTGGCCAGCAAAAGTAAGCTTAAGCGCAATGCCAAAAGCCTTGACAGACATGACTGAAATGGATCCGACGGTGGAGCAGATGGAAAGATAAATGAGGGCGTTTCTCCTGCCATAGACAGGAGCGATCTTGTAAATCATGAAGACGGCGAAAGCGACAACGGCGAAGGCGTAGAGAAGAAAACCTTGTATCAGTTTTAGAAAATGCCATCCTCGTAAGTATGCTTCTTGTGTGTACGAACCTGGCTGAATTGCATAGTGCAAGATCTCGTCGACGGTCTCGATCTCCTCATCCGGAGGCGCATGAAGAACAATAATGACAGCGCCGATCAAGCATATAGCACTGCCGAGCTTGCCCAGCGTACCAAGCTCTTCGTTGAGGAAGTACGAGCCAAGAACAGCGCCAATGAGCACACTGAGAGCTCCAAGAGGTGTGACGAGGATAGCAGGGGCGAAAGCGTATGCGGCAAAGTTGCAGACTTCTCCTAGACCAACTAATTTGATGTTAGTTAATATGTCAATAGGGATCATGTCTGAGAGAGCACTTACGAGTCGCAATACCGGCCCACCACAGGGGATTTCGAAGGTAGACAAAGCCGTCGCCTTCAAAGCCATGCCGCTCTTCTGCTTGAATCAATCCCTAGGAAGTGGATTAGTTTATGCTCAAGGCGAGATGCAGAACATGGCGCCAGCCGCTGAAGCAACGATGGAATACGCCGCTCCCACGGGCAGATAGTAGCTATATTGGACGAACCTTTTTCGTAATAACGAAGCTTGTTCCTGAAATATGGTTAGACTTGCGACGCCCCCAATGTATTCAATTATGACTTACCAATCGCCAAGGCCGATGTCATAGCAAGAGCCAGACCGATATACCTTGAGGCAATATTAGCACTTGTAGTGAGAACAGTGTGGTCGGGATACAAGAAGGACCCGATCGAGGTGGCTTCTCAGGAGAAGACCAACAGGAGTGGAACGCGACATACTTGTCTTCAATCATGATGTTTCAAAGAGCGCACGACAGCGACGAAGCGCGCAAAGTCGACTTTCTATATATGCACCCAATGCGCTGAAAGCGGTGATCCGAATCGAATAGCGGGTTTGGCAGAATGCGCCGCTGAGAGTCGGGGTTGAACTGAAAGGATCGTTCACTACTGGCGTGGGCTCGCACCAGGCGAGAGAAGCCGTATAGCAATAATGAGTGTTGAAACGAGTGAGTTGTTGATGAATCGGGCTCGAATTTATTGCAGACACATGAAAGTATCGCTATAGACTCTTCGATGGGAAAGTTAAATCGAGATTGGAGTTCTGGCCGCGCGGACGACTGCTGAGTCGTGGTGTTGGATGCAGATGGAGGGGGACCAGGCGTGCTGCTGCTGTTGTTGTAAGGCAGCGATTTGTGACGAAGCAAGATCGGGTTTGCGGTATCGTATGGTCCAATTATTGTCGAATCCGTTATTGCCTTCGTATCTTGACAAGCGTGAGACTCGTGATGCGCAACGACGGTATTCGCAAAAGGCAGGGGGGGTTGGATGATAGGGAGAAGGGACAGCTTGGCTGGATTGTAAGTAAAAATGGAGAGGCTGCAGCAGCAGTGCGGATGGGATGAGATACAGTACGTACGTGCTGTGCTGTGCTGTAGTAGGAGGTAAGCGGTTGACGGGTATGGGTCAAATCCAGTTTGTGTGGGAGAGACAGAGACAAAGTTTGGGGAGGCCAGATCAGACCCGACGAGACCAGACAGGGGCCTGCTAGCTAATACCTACAGGCTACGGGAGGCTTGGACAAAACCAGCAGTGGAGAAGCAGAAAAGGCTGAGGTACCTGGGCGGAGGTCAGATTATAGTGCGCTGACAAGTACCGCCACCAGTATCAGGCACAGCAAAGTTCAAGAGGTTTCAAGAGAGGGCGCCAACAAAGGACAATGGATCCATCCACTACCCCCTGGCGTCAGGCCCATGACCCTGGCCGCCTGGCGTTACAACTTACCTAGACTCACTACATACTCCGTAACACTTCAGGGCCCCCTCAGGACTCAAAAAGAGGTGAGGTGGGGATCCTGTCCGAGGTCAAGTGCCTGAATGCCTGCACCTTTTCTTTTCTTTCTTGCATCTGACGACACTTCATTCCACGATCGAGTTATTTCTCTAAGAGTCCCCGAGAAACTAGTGACTAGCAGCCCGTAAAGATAAAACAAACCACTGAAATACGGCAACTTAAGGGAAACTCGGCACAGACCCGGGCGTCGAAACGCAGCAATTGCATTAGGTCGCCTAATAACTTCCGCTGACTTTAAAGTACTACATACATACATATGTACAGCTAATTATTGTACAATAGTCCTCAGATGCTAAAGCCGAGGCTTAGACGGCACGATACGACACAACCACAGCACAACACGATACGATCGGTGGGTGCGAGTGGTTCTCACCCCTGAACTAAAGTGATGTTGACACGCACGTAAGTATGTACGCTGAACATGCAGTTGTCCCTATCACAGTCACTTCAAATACACAGACTACCTACCTAGGTATTTATGTCAGTAGGATTGCCGTATTGATTACGGAGTACTTCCCAGAATATCGTAGCTCTCAACAATCACTTTAGAAAGGACTTCCACATTTCTTATATATAGTTTCTAATACATATATATATTTAAAAAAAAAAAAAAAAAAAGGTAAAGAAGAAATAGTAACAGATACACGACTCTGGTGATGCTCGCAGACTTTTACTCCCCGCCCCTGTAGACTCAATTCACGTCCATAACTAGCGCTTCCGACTGCTTGATTCAAGGGGGACGGACGATAAGC